CATCGACAACACCGTGCATCGATCGCGCTCGCGCGCGCCGCTCACCCGTGTCGTACGATCATCATCTCGTACGTCTGGATGACCTTCTGCATGAAGACGTCGGTCGGCTGCAGGCGCCGCCGCTCGCAGACCTCGCGCGCCGTCGCGAGAAACACGCGGTAGTCCGCCGCCGGCAGCGCGACGCCCGGAAACAGATCCGAGATGATTCCCTCGAAGAGCGGCACGTCGTGCGAGAGGAACTTGGGCAGGTTGACGTCGAGGATCGAGCGCAGCAGCAGCACGTCCTCGCTCTCGTCGGGGAACTTCAGCTTGAGGTTGCCGGCGGCGGCGAGCACGGCCTTGACTGCGCGCATGCCGTAGTCGTAGTGGAACTGCGAGGAGAGCAGCTCGGAGCAGAGCCGGTAGGTGGTGACGATCTTCACGGAGAGGTCGCGCGCGTCGATGAAGCCGTACGAGTAGAGCGAGATCTCGCCGATCATCGCGTAGTCGGGAACCATCATGGCGACCGTGCGGAACAGCACCTGTTCGTTTGTTTGTCGGATGAAGAGATTTTGTTTTAGTATGGTTTTTGGTTGTTATTTACTCGATTATTTGTTCCGTGCGGTGTTGGTTAGTCACGTTATTAATTTACTTAATTTTATATTTATTACTTACTTATATAATGAGTTATTCACTAATTAATTTATTTATTTATTTATTCATTCAACTCATTTTACAAGTGAATATCATCGTTAGACTTGCTTACAGAAGTGTAAGTATACATACATGCATTCACACACAAACACACGCACACGCACGCACACATACACACACACTCACGTACATGCATACATGTTACGTTTGTTGCACAAGCTATACAGACTGACCTTGAGGTTGTCTGGCAGCTCAGAGCGACCCGCGTAACCCGGGTTCATCGTGATGCACACGTAGCAGTTGGCGTTGAGCCGCAGCTCCGTCCCCTCGAACATGAACGTCTCGACGTTGCCCTGCACCGCCCGCACGATGCAGAGGATCTGTGCGAAAGTCAAATGAAGGTCACAAGTGCTCAGCCACGCCTGCAGCCGTGCTTGACCGTTCACTCATTTATTCGCGTCTTTCATTCTCGTCAATATTCTCATTGATCTTTACAGTTTTGCAGGTGATCATGAGGAACCACCGCTTATTCATTTACGTCTTTCATTCACATCTTTCATTGTTGTCTAATTGATCGTTACAATCTTGCGGGTGAGGATTGTTTTCGATGTGTTGATGAAGCACGGGGAATCGGATAAAACACAATGGGCTTCGAGGTCCGATTATATCAGCGGTAAAGTTGTGGTTACGGACGTTGAGCATAGAATGAACGATCATGGGTTCAAGACACTGTCACGTCACGATACTGTCATATATGTTACTATTACATGTTATACTGTCACGTTATACGTTTAAGATATGGCGGTAGACAGTTGAAAACCTTCAAAACTCTCCTCTATGAGGGATTCAAATTGAGAGCCTATCATGATATATTACAGCTCTATTGACTGGGGTTAGTAGGTATACCTGCTGGGCAACCACAGACAGCACCTCCAACTCAATTCGATTAAACTCGTCAAAGCATGCCCAAGCACCTGATGACGCCAAGCCCTTGAAGAACTGAAATGCATCAAGGCAACGAATAAACCCTCAAGGTAACAATCATTAACAAGACAGATGAGTCATAGCATATA